TTGGATACTCAGAGCAGCCAAGGGGGAGATGGGAGTTCTCAAGTGCATCTTTTGTCTTTAGGTAGAGGATGATGTTCCATACACTTTTTACAGGAAAATATTTTAAAAGTACAAATGTCAGTCATCTAAGGATTGAAAACTCAAGAAGAACATTGTAGGCTGTTGCAAACTACTACCATGAATAATTATTACTCTCTGCTGAGAGTTGTCACATACACCAAAAATTCTGTGAAAAGCTCTGTTTTTTTCCTGAGAAAGTTATGGTAATAATTTAGTTTGCTTGTTTACCTTACTTTTATTGGGTTAAAAAACCCTGAACAATACTGAAGAATTCTTCCAAGAATTTTTTTGCCTCTTTTTTGCCTCAGGCGTCTACTTAGACTGTCCTAGAAAGTACTACAGCTAAACAGATGGTCATGAACAACAAACCTGATCTCACTAAAGGGAATATTCCTGAAATGGTTCTGTCTTAGTAGATGCAGTTCACTGGGCTGTTTTAAACTGTTTGGGTTTTGGTATGTACCTGCTAGATCCTAATACTCCTTATCCAAAGGGACAAGAAAGGTTTTCAAAGCAGTAAAGTGGAGTCAGATATTAGTCCATGTTTAGAGTAGTTGCATTTCTGAATGGGTACAGTGATGCCTGGGCTTTCCACTGGTGATTTCTACCCTGAAAGAAGCTGGCTGTTAGAAACTGCTATCAGAGTGACCACAGACCTGTAAAGAGAATACAGCTTTGGAGTTGTGTGGTTTAACCCCAGCTGAAGCCAGGACAAAGATGCAGAGTTAGAGTAAACCAAGGATTTTAAGGTTTATTCCAGTGCTTGGGCACTGTGAGACCACCTGGTACAACACTGCAGTGGGGCTCAGCCCACTGCTCTTTGGAAGCAATGATATCAGCAGTGTGCTGTGCCCAAAGGAGCACTGTGCCTCAGACAGACAGGTGACATCCCTGCACGGGAGGAAGGAGGGGTGCTGTATTGGCTCTGTTTTGCATGGATATCTCGTGCAGGTGGGAGCTGTTGAGGCAGCTGAGCCCCAAGAGATGGCAGCACAACAGGAACTGTTACATTTTCTCCTTCCTCAAAGTTGTACTGTGAGCTGCAGGTCAACACACCACGTCTCAGGGATCCTACATTCCCAGTACATTTTAATTAGCACTACTGATGTCTTTACAATGGCATACTATGTTAATTTTCACTGTTAATTCTAGCTTGTGTTATGTTTGGCTAGGAAAGGAAAACATGTGTAGCACTGTGCTTTTGAGCTTCTGGCCTGAGCCATCTGGAACAGGTTATTTCATCAGTCATGTTATGAGATGGCAATTATAATTCAGACAGTGAGCAAAGCAGACCTCAGCTGATAATCTAAGGTAGTCTTTGAAAAATTATAGGCAACCCTCCCCAACCCCTGGAGTTTGCAGCTGATTCTTTCCTGGGAGGTGAAAGAAATGAGCCCGACTCTTTCTCAGGCAGAATTAGGGTTTGAGACCATGTTTCCCCTGTGGTGCTATTCAAGGGGCAGTAGGGTGAAATGTGTGTGTCAAATCACTGCCTGTGTTGTAACATCAACATGTGACAACATCAAAAGCTTGCTTACTTGGCAGTCTCCAGGAACACTTAGATCAATCTCCACATCAGGCAAAAGCTCAACTTGTGAATCTCATGAAGCTTAGATGCTGTCACGTTCTGCAAGTGCCAATAAGTTTTGCTGTTTTACCATTTTTGCTGGCAAAAACTTTTGGTTCCATAAGATATGGTAGGAGCAAAATGAATGTTTTTAGCATTTAAAGCTTGGACATGTAGGGCCTAAAGTGTCAGTTATTGGAAAATTCCTTTAATGAATTTAGGTCTGTGTGGCTGGGTAAAAGATGTCTATGACTTGGCATGTTGAATGACTTCAGGCTCACAGATCTACCATCATACAGACTTGTATGCTTTGACTCTTCTCACAGTTTGAAAATTTTCTTGAAAATGTTCAGAGTGGAGGAATTTTAAAAAATGACAAGAACATCCAAGAAGGGTGTTTGACAGATATGGTTCTGGAGAAATGTAAGAACAAGATCAGAGTTAAAAAAAGAGATGAAATGTTATGAAACTTAGAGGAAGAAGACTTGTTTCTGCAAGGAAGATTTTCTGTTCAGGGATGCTAAGTGTAATTAACTGTTCCTAAATTCTCTGATCTATTTACAGCTTTTGTCTTAGCATTTAGAATCAGTCAGATTATGTTCTCCAGTGCTGAGGGCTCCTGTTCATCCAGTGCTGTGCTTTATCTGCAGGAGCATAGCTCGATTCACATATGCAAAGAGAGTAAAGTTATACAATACATTTTATGTCCCCCTTACTATAATATATATTACACAATTTTCAAAATCCAAGTCTTAATTGGAGATATGGTTTCAACCCCAGCTATGCACAAAGCAAACTTTGAGAACATAGTTATTTAACAGAGCCCCATTTTATACTGGGGACAGTTCTGCACCTCCCCATGAAGACAATGTCAAGGTAATCTAAATAAAGTCATGGATTTTATAACTCGGGGATATTTGAGACTATTGAAGTGAGAGCACCACTACATATGAAATTTAGCCAACATCTTAAGCATAAATGCTGAAGGTGTCAGCACAGGGTGTTGAAAGGTGCATCAAATTGTTCATTTTTATAGGATGAACAAAAGGGGGCTTATGCACCACAAAATCCTTCCTTTATACAACCCTTCATACAAAACAGAGTTATGAAAAGGCTGTGGCTGCATCTGATTGTTTTGTGACTGATGGTGGTTACAGAAAGGTACTGTAGAAATTCCACTTAGCCAGAACATCAAATCCTTTTATTTTGGAAAAAAAACAGTCACCAAGCTGTAAACTAGCCCAGGTTGTGGTTTGGTACACTTTTTAATACTCTGGTTTTTATCCACTCCAGCTGTCAGATGGAGACAGGAAAAATCAAAACATTTGTACAGTATTTCTTCTTAAGGGAGCCCCTTAGGTGGTGAGATCTGGATTCACCTCCCGTCTCCAGGGCTGGAGCACCTCTGCCAGTTGGCTGATGGATCAGAACTCTGAGGCAACTCTCTGGGAGCAGACTGGTGCTGCACTCATACAGTGATTCTGGCATGCATGCAATGATTTTACCATGTGATTGTAGAAAAATTCAGTGGGTTAGCAAGTGAAGTATTATCAGATGAAGCAAGTTCTTTGTCCACACAACTGGATGCACAGAGCATTTGCTTTCCTGTAAAGCTGTTTCTCATTGCTTCAGTAGATTATTCACACTTCTAACATACAGTAAGCACTGCTACTCTTAGGTCTGTTAGCTCTCCAGGTTATTGAATGTATTGAGAAACTCTGGTGGTATGGAGCAGTGAGAATACTCAGAGTTAAGCATTTGCTACAATGAAAATTTTCCTGGCCTTTGCTTTCTATCCTCTCTTGTCTGTTCTCTGATCCATGAAAAACTTCACACGTACCCTACAGCTTCTTCAGAAGTCCCTTGTGCAAGTTTTTGTTAGGCTTTTGGGAACTTTATTAAAAGTAAGTTAATTGGTGCTTGTTTATCTGCCAATGTATAGACACTGTTTGAATGATTCCAGGTGTTTAATTTTCCATGCAGTGCAAGTGATGCAAGCAAGTCACTGAGAGATAAACTGTCAGAAATGGCCTGGAGCCTCTGGTGCTGTCATTTTTGAAAGGTAATTTGGACAATTACAGCCAGTTAACAAGATACAGAGGTCTTGAGCTTCCCTTTGGCTCCAGTACAACTTATGGGGGCTCAGCACCTCTAAAGCAGCTCAGTCCTTGTATCTCAAGCTGGATTTTGAGGCTTAGAGGCAACTTTTATTATTATCTGTTATATCAACTGTAGTTCTGTTTCTCAATCTGTTACACAGAGATGTATGATAATAATTTCAGGTTCCTTAGAAAGAAAGGGTTTTCTCAAATGGGACACTCAACAGAAATTCAAAGTAGTTGTTTAATGTCCTTGTCTGTCTTTCATTTCAGTGTTCATATTTGAATCCACTATAATCTTTGCTGTGTCTGATTGCTTACCTTTCACATCCCATAAATGTTCTTCTTGACCTACTAAAGCTCTGCCTGTGGCAAAGTTGCAAAACACCTGAAAAAGTACTTTATTTCCTTCCTCTTCAGTCATAACTGGAGATCTGCAAGTTATGCTTTTCCTGAAGAAATATTTCATATCATAAACTGCTCCCTTAAGCATGGGGTCAGTTTAAAAAGAGCCAGTGTTTGCAGACAAGCCATTTGTTTTCCTTTGAATGTTTAATTTGTTTATTCCTGTTTTCAAATAATCCCCAAGCAATATAGTTCCTGTAGCTGTGATCATCATGAATTCGAGTTATTCACCTCCCAGAGGGTCAGACCTTTCATCAGTATGCCATTGGCACAGAGCAGCAAGTGTTGCATATTCATTGTCCAGGACACCAGCTAGAGGGCCTCCAAAAAACCCTGACGTTTTTTTTGTTCTCAGAGCAAGGAAAACAATCCCTTCCCTTCTCCAGTCCCTTGATAAGGCTTTCTGTCCAATAACGGTGCTCTCTGCTCTGAGGCACATTTAACTGTGAAGTTTGCAGCGGGAGAGGCTTTCCTTCAAGCTGTTAGTGTTTTATCCTGGCAGGCTCCTCGAGGTTGTTGTGAGGAGTCTAGCCAGTTGGTGAGCTTTGTAATCTAAACCAGCTGTCCCAGGCTGAGGCCCCCATTTGCATTGTTTAACATACTTAGAAAATGAAGTGTTCATTTTTAACATTCCTCCTCCAATTGGTTTAATGCTGAATTACAGAAGAGAACTAAGCAAAACCAGGTGCTTTCTCTGTATTCTCTCCAGTGTCTGAGGAGGTACAGACGGCTCCCGATCTTCTCCATTACTTGCCATTTCATTCTTTGGACTATAAATGACAGAGGAACTGAAGTGCTAGCAGAGGGTAATGTTTGGAAAACTTTCTAGTTATTCATCAGCACAGACTCTGGGTTTTTTCCACCTTTCTCCAACGGTTTTGGACATGCAAGGATTAAGAAGGTAAGTGGTATGCATGAAACTTCTTTGCTTACTGACGGGAAACCTGCTTGTGGAAAATAGCTGTGGCAGGGACATGTTATGCCAATCCACTTGCAAAAGCCATTTGCAAAGAGATGGGATCTCAATGGTCAGAGGTGGGGAAAGACGATCTGCCTGTTACTAAAGCTGTGCTGTCTCTGACGAGTTCCTTCTTGATCTGTGCTTATACTCTGCGCATCTGCGGGAGTGCTGAACTGCAGCAGCCACGATCCCACTGGCTACAGTGATTGATTGAAGTTAATTAGTTACTATTGCAGAAGTTAATTGCTAGTTTAAAATATTTTGCCTGCTGGGCAAGCTACTGTGACCAGCTGCATGTAGTGTTGATAGGTTGTGCTGCATGTCTGTTAATAATTCTTGAGGGGATTTTAGATCTAAAGTAATGAGCAAATTGAGATCATGGGTGCAGACAGAACACGTACGAGGCAGTAAGGTCACTCCCCCACCAAAAGGAAAGAATATATCATCTTGTAGTAAAGGCAACTAAAGACTGTCTAAAAATGTTTGAGTTTTGTCTGGCTGTTTTATGGGGGATTTTGTTATCGTGCACTGTCCTGCAGCAATGTGCAGCACAACCCAGTTGCTGCATATGTCAGTATTCTGCTATAACCTGCTGTATTCCTTCCCAATGCTTTTTCTTACTCCATGCAAAGTGAGTATGCAGTCTTTATAGAAATGTACACTTTAAAATCTCTTCAAAGAGATCTGAGGAATCAATAAATTAAATGCAACCTAAATGGACAAAATTGTAGTTTGAATGTTTTACATTGGACTCTAAGGAAAACTCTGTGCAGAATTTGCCTTTCCTTGTCACTCAAAAGTTGCCAATGAGCACAATCTGTCTCCACAGCACTATGAACAACCATTTTAGGGTTTTATGTTTACTTTTCAGAGCTTGTTAAATTTGTTGTAATGCGTCGGTCATTGTGTGTGGTTTTGTCTGATGCATTTGTAGGTCTTGCTCAGCAGCTCAGTTTGCACGCTGGAAATCAGGGACAGCTCTAAGAGAGAAAGTTGGCAGCTCACATGCGTAGCAGAGCTAAGGCTACCTAAAATATCCCCTGCTTCCTGTACTGGTTTTGTGGGAATGTATTGTATCCAATTGCCATTTAGAATTACAATCCAAGATAAGCAAGGTGTGGATCTAATGGTACTAGGAAGTTTTATATAAATCAGCAGCAAAAGAATGAAATCCACAAGACCAGAAAAAAGTAGTTTCTGACTGTGCTTTCATGGTTTTCTATCAGTTAGTAAATATTTGGAGGTGGAAGGTTACTTGACCATAATTTTTATGCTCCAGGTAAGGAGCTCCAAAAATAGAGGTAGGGCTCTTTTAGTGAGGGGGCCTTGTCTTTCAGTTGCAGTGGAGAGAGACCCAGTAGGGAGCACTAGATGTGAAGATGATGTACCTGGGGAAGGCTGCACTGAAGATAACAGCCTCTGGTTGCTGATGACCTGGCACAGTGTGTCTCCTTCAAGACTGAGCAAAGGGACAGAATCTGGCCCCAAGCAAATGGATTCATCTCAGAGCCTCTGGGGATGAAATGTGGTTTAGCAGTTGGAGCAGCTGGCTTGGATTCAGGACCTCCTGCATGACATGTCTGCAGCCCTGCCAACACTTCACGCTGTGAGCTTAGGCAGGGCCTTGCTTGGGTTTACCCATCTGTAAAACCTGCACAGCGTGCAAGAGAAGCCTTCATTTTTGCAAAAGAAAGGTGTCAGAGAGGGGGAAAACCACTTTATTGAATATTGCACACTTGTTCATTTAACAGCTGCTGCATGGGGTGTCATAAAAATCAGATTTGTCCATAGACATTTGCAGTCTGGTTTCAATCCCAGTACCATCAGAGTCATTGGTCTGAGACCTAAATCTGGCCCACAGTTATATTACTCCTTCTCCAAAGGCCAAATTCACGTTAGCAAAACTAGAATACACTGAAGTGTCCCTAGAAATTAATTTGTCCATGTGTATTTAATTCTATGTAACAAGCCTGGATATCTGAAGGTTTTCAGCCTATTTTCTATGCACATTACAGGATACTGACTGCTTTCACACTGGCTGTCTGCCTTTCAAGCCCTGGAAAAGCACAGGTGAGAGGTGCATGCAGAGATGTGTGTACTGGTTTGTACTGAAGTGCTATATGGCATGAAACTTAACTGGCTAGCAGGTGGATAGGAAGCTCTGTGGTCTGGGGTTTACATGGAAAGGAAGTTGTGTGGTCTAAGGGTTTAGAGGGGAGAACTTGGAGCCAGCAGGATTCTGGAGTTGAACATGGATTGAGTTATTGACTCATCCTTGCCAGCTCAGCAAAATATCCCTGTAGAAACCTGGACCTCACTGAAAATCTGATTCTGCCTCTAAACTGAACACTTCTGGAACAGGAAATAAGAAAAACTATGCCATGAAACCAGAGACTGCTCAGTTCTATTGTGAGAAACATCCATATTTGGAGAATTCATTCATAGAAATACATCTTTTCTGTGTATAGCAGGATCAAGTCTTAAGACTGTTTCATTTTGGACTGTGATCCTGAATGACTGCATCCCAGTTTTTATTTTCACTTATGCCCAAACCCATTTCTGTTCAAGAGAGTGGATGGAAGTAAAGCAGTCCAGTTCTTGAAATAGCAGAATCATTAGTTCTTTTTATGCTCAGGCTCCAAGTAACTTTAAATTGGGAAAAACTGTTCCTAAATGCATGTTGTTTGGATCTCTAGTTAATAGTCCAGATATATTTGGTATCCAGAGCTGTGTTTCTAAATACCTTTGCCAAAAGCCTCTGAAATGTAGTTGTTTTTCTTCTATTACATTGAAAATTTCCTGCACTGGTCATGCTTATTGATATTTTTGTGATTATTGGATCTGTATGGGAAATGCTTTTCATGCCCCTGGAGAATTTTTGAGATGTCTTTAAAGGTTTGTTGTTATAATTTTAAAAATATTGTTTACATTAGAATTTTTATAAAAACATCTTGTAGTAGAAATTGATTTTTGAAGTTGCTTTGAAAAAGCAACTTGAAGCTGAAACAACAGCAATGACTTCTTTCTGAAGATACTGAAACTGGTAATTTTGACAATATTGGAATATTTTCTAAAATAAAGTTCTAGAAAGTTGTTGAAACCAGTCCTACAATAGTTTCAGTGTTTCTGAATCGTCATTTTTTGACCAAAAAAAAAATTCTTAACAACTATTTGAGCTTTTCCAGCTAACCTAGGTGTAGCGTATGTACACAAAAAGGAGAACAAAAAGTAGATTACATACATTCTTTAAAACATGAGGGTGATTATACATTCTCCCATTAGAATATCTTGGCTTTCCACAGCATGATACCAAAACATCTTGGACTGCCAAAACAAATGGAGGCAGAATTCCTCCATACTTGTCTGACACTTCTAGCAGGGGTTTTGTGTATTCATATGTGCAAGTGGCAGGTGCAGTCCAAACAGTGCCATGTGTTTCACTTCAGTCCTGTCCCTGGTTCCTGCAATGACCCACTTCCACTGACTCACCCCTTTAACCTTTTGTCTCCCATCTACAACCTACTACTTTTCCAAACATCAATTAAGTACTTTAATCTTCCACTCATAAAGTCCAAAAATAAGTGTCTTTATCATTAAGATATGACAAAAAAGGAAGGATCTTGAGCACACTCCATCCCTCTGCCCTCTGGTGGCTTCAGTGGTTCCTGTTTCCTGGATATCTCTTGCTTACATTGCCTAGTACAACCCATTTACTGGAAGATCCTGTGCTTGTGTCAATTGCTTTGCCCCTTGCTAAATAGCTGGAGGCCCAGTCAAAAACTAGGAAGAGCAGAAAATCATTTTAACAGGCTTTGAAACCATTATCACCAGGACTTTCACCAATTTAGAGATGCTGAGGTCACTGAGGAGGTATTGAAGACTCAAGGCTGCAGCCCTGATAATGGCCAGCAGAATAGGAAGGAATAAGGCTTCCAGTAACCTTGAATGCCTATAACATGTTGTATAAAGATTTGGTGGAAAACAAGAGATTAAGCTTGTTATGTTTCAACTGTGGCTCTGGATCAGTCAATGCCTGATGTGTTGTGTGCTGAATGGGCTGCCTGGGGAGCTTCAGAGCCTGTGGGAGATGCAACGAGGACCTTTGAGATGAATCCCCCTGTTCTGGCAAAACCAAGACCCCAAACTAGAAGACTGTAATTCTGTGCTAACAACTCATAACACATTGTACCCCTGTACTCATAACTCATTGGTAGCCCCTGGGCAGAGGAACAGCCTGACACTGCCATCACCTGAGGGTGCCACTCCTGAGCTAAGGGGCTGGAACTTCTGCTGAGACGTCAGGGCCATGGCGTGCTGTCTGTCCTCTGGGGAAGGAGCTTATTTTGATGTACTGTACCCTACTGAACAATTGTACTAATCATAATAATCCAGATGAGCATTTGACTCTGCAAATCTCTCATTCACCATCACTCAGTGTCCTTTTTTTCTCATTTTAGCAGCAATGCACTAATGGGTTCGACCTGGACCGTGCCTCTGGGCAATGCTTAGGTAGGACTTTGATTAAATCAATATATTGAAATTTGGGCTCAGAAATCCTGAATTTATTGAGTTAACATTGTGGGGCTCTTACTATGTTTTAGACGAAAAGTTCTTACTGTGTAACAAATATGTGTGTTTATATACATGTATATACAACAAATATGTGTATATATAAATATATGTGTGTGTGTCTTTACATAGCACCGATCTTTGAGATTGTTGAGATACTAACAGGCTGTCAGGGCTACTCAAACAACAATGATGCATTTTGATAGGAGCTCAGTGTAGCTGCCAAAGGATGAGGGCTGTTCACCCTCCTTCTCTTTCTCCTTCAAACTCAGAATTTATTGTCTTTGTTGCCCATCTCCACCTGCAGGCTTAAATAAAGCCTTCCATTCTCAGAAACTGAAACTCCAAGTAAACTGAGCTGAGGTACTGTAAGGAAATCTGCACTTTGCCCAGCAGCATCTTTTTGTCAATGGCATTCAGTCTCCAGGGCAGCATCTTCTACATGCCATAAAGCCACCCAAACACAAAAGGAAAAACCTGCAGCAGACTGTTTGTCCTCCCATAGCCTACTGTTTCTATGGCCAAGAACGAGGGGAATGCTCAATTTGGCTAAACCAGTTATATCTTTCTAAATTTAATTCAGCCACAATCTCAGTCAAAGCAAGAAAGAGGCCTGAACTGTGTCCCCAGATCCGAGCATCCCTAACTCAGAGGGAGGGAACTCAAGACTTCCAAAGCAGGATCCAAATTTCACAGCTGGGCAGACCAAACCATCAGTTTCTGAAATCCTGATCTGCATGTTGTGGTTTGGACAGACCCTCCAGCAGGAACAGGCAGTAGCATGCTGCAGCCATGTGTAAATCAGTGTTTAAACCAAACTTCTATGGAATAGCAAAGCAGGCCTTGTCCTCTCCCTCTATCAGTATGAGTACTCTAGAGTACTCATACTATTAGAGAATGGAAGGATAATATATATCATATTATATCCTCTAATACTCATAGTATTAGAGGATATAGTACTCATAGTATTAAAGGATATAGTATGAGTACTCTAGAGTAGTTCTACTACTCTAATAGTATGAGTAGATCACAGGATATGTTGAATATAAGAGGTGTTTTCTGTTTTAGTGCAATCTAACTTCAAAGTGAGGCTCCTCAAGGAAGGGTTAGCCATTTGATGAAGAATATAATTTTTTTTTTGTAATGTTATGCAAAAAACACATGAACTATTTTTTGACCAGTCCCATTAAGTCCCATTAACTCTTTAAACCTTTTCAATTTCATTGCAGATATTGATGAATGTCGGACCATTCCCGAGGCCTGCAGAGGAGACATGGTGTGTGTGAACCAGAACGGGGGCTATCTGTGCGTGCCCCGCACAAACCCCGTGTACCGCTCGCCCTACCTGAGCCCCTACTCCAATGTGTACCCACCGCCCCCAGCCCCTGGCCCCGTGCCCAACTACCCCACTGCCACCCGGCCCCTCATCTGCCGCTTCGGCTTCCAGCTGGATGAGAACAACCAGTGTGCTGGTAAGCACTACAAATCCTTCTTCTAGATATCCATTCATGTTAAAGCTTGTCTGACATTGCAGAAACAATTGTCCTGCAGTTGGCCTTCAGTTAATGCAGCAGTCAAGCCCAGTATTTTGAAGTCAAATTTTTTTAAGGATACAAGCTGTATGTTTCATATCATTATTCCATGCAAACTAAGATGTTGCCATCTTATTTCAAAAGTTCCATACCTTCTCGATGATTTCTCAAGTGCAGCTCTTCACAGCACAACCAACAAACTCCATCTCTCTCCTCAGCCACCTAACCCACTCTTTTGTAGCACTCTTCTTCTTATTGGACACAGCTGTGGCCTATTAAGGGCAGGCCTGTTCCTAATCTTTGGTGATTAGTACAGCTGCAACTCCTCAGGTGTGAGATTACCTTCTGCACTACCTTTATTTTCTTACATTCTATCCCTCCACACTAAGATATGACTCAGTCCTATTATTTAAGCAGGAAAGCCATTTTCATGAATGAAGAAATGTTTTTATGAGATAAACAGCCATCTGATGGCAGCTGATTTGTCAGTGCATCAAAAGAATGCCTTTTATGCTGATGATTCTGTCCATGAGAGAGAAGGTGGCCCTTCATGAGAGAGAAGGTGGCCCTTCATTTGAAGTGTTAGGTGGAGCCTGGGGAAACTTCATCTCTTGGCTGTTTGTGAGCTGGTCCTTGACAAGAAAAAAAAAAGCCTAAACCATGAAGCCATGAGCTTTCAACAGAGAATTTTGCCTCTCTTTAGACTGAAGAACAGCACTTACTTCAAAACTGCTGCAGAAAAAACAAGACCTAAAACTGACTTGTCTTTTGGACTTATTCTGCCCTATTGTCTGAAATTTCTGGCGGGACTTGGTTGCAGATGATGCATTTTCTTTGTTTTCCTACTAAGGAGACCACAAGAGCTTCACAGGAGCTTTGAAAGCCTAGAGTTAAATTCAGCTAACATTTGGGACACATTTTTTGTATTTGAATCATTGTCCTTTCCAAGGTGGGAAAAACGTATTTTCTAACCAGCACTCACAGTAATACCGACTGGAAAATTAAAAAAAAAACAAAAAAAAAAAAAAAAAAAACAAAAAAAAAAAACAAAAAAAAAAAACAAAAAAAAAACAAAAACAAAAAAAAACCACACACAAAGAAAAGGAAAATCATAAAACCTGGGGTTTTTTGAAGAGTTCTTAAATCTTGGGATCACTGAAGAGTTTGATGTAAAAATAAGCATTTTTGCTATCTGATTCTTTGAAAACAGCCTCTAGTCCATTTCATCTTAGCAAATTGATCAACCTGTTATTTTATTTACTGATTTGTAGATTTCCAGGAGTGTTTTCATTTTGCTCACTTTGCTTTAGATGATTCAGGACATGGGGTAGTTAGTAGAAAAGAAGTGCTGAAATGAAAGTGGAAATGAAACCTCTGAATGATACTGTCTGGTCTGCTCCATGCAAACCAGAATAATCAAAACAGGAAGATTTAGGGAACTTTTAAAGTGAACTTTCCAGCCTCCAAAGGGCACATATGTTCCTATTTATGCTGGCAGAAATGGGAGAACTTATACTTTTTTCAGTCAGGCTGTTCACTTCAGTCATTTTTACTTTCAAATATTTGGGATTTAATTGTAAAAGAAAGTTTGGTGATGAGAGACATTAATGAGAATGCATGGGAAAGGACAGGCTGCCATTTGAGCACCACAGCAAGCTGGGAGCAGTTTTTGTAAGTCTACACCAGATTTGAATTTAGGTAGATGATGTGACAAAGGAAGTAAAACAGAACTAAAAGAAAATGAGACCTGTCAGGGGTCTCTGCTGGGTTAGATTTCATTTTTTATTTCGTGAAATTCTCTGGAAATATTCACTATCTTTATGCAGTACTTATTGTTGTATCTGAGTGTGTTTTGTATCTGTGTGCCCCAGGATGGAAAGTGTGGTCACCAAAGGGAGTGATTTGGTCCAGGTCTCACTGTGGTGATGGTAGAGAAAGCCTGATCCCCTGCTTCCAAGATTCCTGGAGCAGTTAACAAGGTTATGTGTAATGCCTTGCTTGAAGTCCTTGGAGGCAAGACATCAGGGAACCTTAACAGGGTCCTCAGGAGCAACCAAAATTTTACCAGGTCATTCAAGAAAGTCTGACCCACAGGATCATGGCATCCATAAGCCAATTATAAGCATCTCTCATGTTAATGGTATTTCAGTTGCTCTGTGCCTACCTCCTTGTCCATATTCAGCATGTTCTTAGGATACAAAGCACTCCAAGGGCTAATTGTGTGGTGGAATGGTTGAAAAGAATGAACTAGAAGTAATTTTGCCCAGTAGCTGGGCCACTAGGTAACAGGTTTGTTATGTTGGTGTTCAGACACCACCCTCTAGCACCTTCTTTCCAAATAAAATTAGTCAAAGGTATTTCCATTAGAGATAATGAGATTTTCTGCTATTGACTGCAGGGGAACCAGAGCTATTCTCATGACAATGTGTCTCAGCAATCTGCAGATTTTAACAGAGTACACATTTTTGTCTGGTCAGATATGGAGTTACAGATCAGAGTCCCATATTCTACTGCTAGGACAACAGAAAACTTTACTTTCACTTTGAATGTCAGTCAAAACAGCTTATTAAATACAGGAGCATTTTCTGTGAGACTGGGAGATTTACAGCCTCATCTTTGAAGCACTGAGGTTGTTCAAGAGACTTCCAAAGTGAAACAGGACAAAAATTTGATCTGAAAGTTGTGTGAGTTTTAACAAGCTCTTTCTATTTTTTTTTTCCAACCACTCCACAAAATGTAGGGAGGCTGCAAGAAGGTTGCTCTGTTCCAGTCTGGCACCTGGCCTGCCTGCCAAGGCCCCACATTCCTTGGCTCTCAAGGGAATGTGCACCCCTGGCTGTTCACATAACATTCCCCCTCGTGGGGCTGATATGTTTCCATGCAGCAAAAAAAGAGATATTATCCATTCTTCTCCCTTTCAAGATTTTTGGCCTCATCTTTTCTGGCCTGGATGGTCACAGACAGTGGTTAAGTGTCCACAGCCCTTCCCTATCCTGGTCACCATTCAGTCTTGCCAAGATTCTTTCATCTCCAGATCTTGTCCTTTATGAAAACAAAACTTTTCCTGGTTCAAGTGCCTCTCAAAGACACCTGTCCATGATAGCTTTGCCATCCAGTGTCTTCTATGTTCTGCAGAAGTACCTGTAGCCATTTGTGGTAGCAGACAGAGAAATGTTTTAATGATAATTACTTCTTAAGTCTTCTGTGGGTTTGATTCCTAATACATGGTATTTTTTACCCCTGGAGTTGCTGAGTGCTTTATATTTTGTGTATGTAAGTGGTCTGTGTTTTCAACAGCACAGAGTTTTTGTAAATCATTCCAAAGCAGGTTGGGAATGATTTATAACCACAATTAATGTTGGAATAAAAAATCACATACAGAAAAAAGCAAAGAACATCTAGTGCAAGAGCACTGTTTGAACTGTTTGTCTTCTAACATTACTTCTCTATAAATACAGAATGGGTTAGTCATAATAATGACTTTTTGCACAAGGAACTTAGTCTAGTAACAGTTGGCTCCAGATTACTGGAGTGAGGGCCTGTGTTCTTGCTTTATACATTCGTAAGCTGAGAGCTCTTTCCAGTTTCCTTTCACTCCACCTTGCTGTTTCCTGATTTACAATGATCTTCAAAACATGCCTCAAACACAGATCCTTCTGGGCAGTGTGGAAAGAACTGTACTGGGTGGGCTCTTATTATTGCTTTCTCTCCAATTAATGCAAACTCACAATGTGAGGAGATGATGGGGTTGGAGAGGGTTGAATAGAGAGTTCAGAGAAAGCACACCTCAAAGATAGAAAGATAGAGAGGCAAATGCTAGGAAAAGTATGAGCATAAGGTCAGATGAGTATGACCTAGATACACAGAGAAGGGAGGAGGGCAGAGGAGGTAATTAAAAAAAAAAAAACAACAAAACATAATTGTTATTTTTAAAATGAAAGGTTAAAGGAAGAAGGAAATGGAAGGATGCTGTCTTCAAGTGCAAGAGAGAATTGTTTTTCATGCCCCATTTGTGCAGTAGTCATTGCTTCAGCTTTCCTTGTTTCTCACAGATTGGCAGGACCCCCTACAGTCCCCACCTATGGGTCCCCCGTCCTACATTTGTGGAGTGAAACTCCTTCCTTCAAAAGATTACCTTTGCACAGATGGGTTTTAGATCATTATCTTTATATTGCAAGCATACCTAAACCCCACATCCAAGCCTGCAGTTGTACTGCCCTGCCTTGTCCCAACCTCATTAAGAGCAGCCTATGTCTAGATGAGTTTTCAAGCAAAATGAAGGAACCAGATGTTCCTGTGTGGGGAAAGGGGAGGGAAATTGAGAGACAGAGAACTGAAAGGAGGTGCCCAGGCCTTGCATCAGGCTCATGGCTGTGCTGGGATAGAGCCCAGAGTTCCTTATCCAATGGCTTAGCCATCAAGCCAGACTGCCTCCTCCTAATGACTTTCCTAGTGACCTCTCAGTGCATATAGAAACAGGAGGAAGAAAAGTAGGGAAATGCAGCAAGGAGATTATGCCTTACAAGGGTTTGTATAAAGTAAATTACAATGGAATCCACTCCTGCCTTTTCCTTTTTTAACCCTATTTGGGTCAGCTCTGTGCCTTTCCCTTTTCCTCTTGGTCTGTGAGACAATCTCTTTTGCTGCTCCAGAGGGCCAGTTCCTGAAGCTTATGCATGATCACTGTTAGGGAATGACTGCCATCCTGTCCAAATTAACCAGAAAAAGAAGGAAAGATTACATGAGAACAGATTCTGTGAGAGGCTTAGCTCAGACTTCTGAAAGTATAGGCAATTGTTGACAGTTCCTAATTAAATTAAGGGCCATGATGTGCAGCTTTTACTTGTAGTATGGTTTTCTGATGGGCTTTGTAGGAGGAAATGTGAATTGAGACCTCATGCTGCCATAGCAATGCAAAAGTTTCCTCTCAAGCATCTCAA